AAATTATTCGCTGGTAAAATATGTGCTTTCTCAGCTAGTGCCTCGTTCACTTTTTTTGTTTGCAATTTTTGATACGGCTAAACAAACGAATATACGATGTATATACCGACTTACTCCGTACATTGTATAGTTTTTCTCCATCACCACCCAGACTATACCAATACCTAAGCCAGTCACCATTCGGTACTCAGTAGACGAAAAAATACAACCAAATAAGACATTTTCGAGAGAAAAGTAGTTGAAGACGAAGTTTTGTATCCCTACTGTAGAACAATAATATTTTACTTTTCATCGTGGAAACCACAATGCTCTTGTTACTCGGTGATCATGCTCTAACCAATTAGCATACTATCGATAAAAACTCTTTTCTTTCAAGTATTTATTAGGTACTGATAATGATATAGATTAAGCAACCCGCATTACACACACGGTAAAAGCGAATATCACAGTACAAATCTCACAGTTCCAACAATGAAATATCTGGTTTAGCTAGGATAAGCTTTTATCGGAGAGTTGTCAACGGTAATTGTATGTACAGTCATTTCTGCGCTTCCGTGCTTAGTCACATGATTTTGGACTTGAGCGATGGTGATGTTCGCCTTCAACCAAACATAAAGAAAGCCTCCACCTCCAGCTCCAGCTAACCAAGCTGTTTCAATAAGATTTTCGCTGAAAAAACAATGGAATTAAAAGGATGAAAAGGGCAAAAGATTAAAGATTTTTACCATTTTAGTGAAGAGATCAGAGAAGCTACAATATCTGGTTCACACCCTGTAGCTAACGCTTTCTTGGCATTGTAGTAAATTTCAATGAGATCATGAGGCATTTCTCCTAAATGATGAGCTTAATATGCTGAAAGAAGAGTAAAAAGGGATGTTGATATGCCTTTTCGCAATGCATTAGCGAACATATTAACGTTGTCTTCTAGAGATTTGATGACTTCTCGTATAGGGCCGCTAGAATACCATCCTCGAATAACTTCCTAGAGAAAGATAAGATCATTATGGAAAACCTGGTACTTCAATTATATAATTTCGAAAGGAAAAGTCAGATCCTCTCAATTCTAAGGAATCCTCTCAAGTTCATGCATTGGAGAACATAGAAAGAATTTTCCAAGGTCGAATAGTATTTTCTCTATGGTATGGTAAACGCGTGTAATGGATAAATAAGATGAAATTTATAGAATGAGGACGAACACATAAAAACAGATGCGAACAAGTAAACACAATTTAGTATGCTTAATTACATTGAACATAACATCAAAAGGAGATAATTATCCAAAAAGTGATGAAAGGCTGATAAGTAGCCATAATTGGTCGTTAAGAAACTACTTTTATATTGTGTAGGTTGGAGGAAGAAACTAGTTTCGTCCGACTAGATGCTCGTCACTAATACAGTTCTTTCCCCAAAAGTGCTATAACATAATCGTTTTCAGAAATGATATTGCATATAGGAAACATAGAAGCTAATTCCACAGAGTAAGAGTACCTGTAGCAGATTTTTAGCCAATCTTGTCTTTCCT